ATGGAGGAGATCGTGTGAGGAGGGGGAGGAGACGATAACTTATAAGCACTTGAAAAGCCCATTAAAGAGGACTGCGTGGAACAGAATGAAATGATGAATTGCTGCTGAAAGTCTGTTTTCCACGCGCGACCCAAAGGAATAATAGTAATGTGTTAAACAGTGTATATGAATTCAAAATTGAAAAATATAGTGTTGTTTAACTAACAAAATTCATTAAAAAACCTATTTGTCTACATGAAAAAACCGCAATAGACTGTAGATGATTATTTCAAATGAAAAGTGATGTAATATTCACAGTGAAACAGAAGGAAAGAATACAAAAAAACTGTCTACATGGGAGAGAAAAAGCCTCTATGAATTGACAATGTCAAATCTTGTAAAAAAAAAATAGGGGAAAATGGTATTTTTCTGTCATTGGTGTATTCTGGAGAGTAAAATACACTTTTGTTGGCGGTAATAGAAACATGAAAGCAGTAGAAGTGGATATCCATTGACACGACATATACGCAAGCGCACATTCTTTTTGTTGCTATTGCTGTTTCCTGTTCCTCCTTTCATAATCTATAAAACATTTCATTTCACATATTCACAGAGACATTTTTATTCTTTCGCTTATTGTATTACGTCAGTTTGCAAATGAAACAATCGTCTTCATCCCCCCACCCTCTGTGTTTCATCTTTCACAATGACAAATATTCAGTGATTTTGTTACTACAAAAAAAACCACACTATACATTTCTCAGTTTCAACTCACATTGACTTCGTAAAAGTTATGGACTTACATTTTTTTCAAGTATTGGTTTGTAGGGATTTGGCTGATTGTTTACAGGATTTCATCATGAGCTGACATTGGTTAGAGAACCATTGGAAAACCTGGGAGTACTTGACAGCTGTTTCGTCCTAGTTTGGGACTCTTCAGTAGTACGTACCCACCGGGTTTAACTATGCAGACCAATTCTGACAGAAATATTCCCCATGAGTTTGTTTGTAGAGATCTGATTTGTTTCATTTTTAATCACGGATTGTTATCAATTACAGAACCACTAGAAAACCAACTAGAAGTACTGGACAGCTGTTTTGTCCTAATTTCAGACTCACCGGCAGTCCGCACTGGCTGATGTTCGAACCCAGGACCTTCCGGTTACAAGACAAGCTAGAAGATCATTCAGCTAATAGGACCCGACTCAGTGGCCAACGGATGAATTCCAGCTTCTAGCAATTCGTGGTTACACCGCTACTGGCACCAAACAGTATGATCATTGGCGAGCATTTATCCTCACTTCCAACCTAATGGACCCCACTGCCGGTCACAACTTTCCACTAGAACTCCAGAAAACTCCATCCTGTAGCCAACCACTAGTGAGCATCAGATTAATTTTCAAGAGTTGGTTTGTAGGGATTTGGTTTGTTTCAAGTTTGACTGATGAGTCCCAAACTAGGACGAAACAGCTGTCTTGTAGTACTCCCTGGCTTTCACTGGTTCTCTAACTTATGTCAACTTGTGATTAAACCTGTAACTTTTGAATAACTTAATAAGAAGAGATTTTGTGGCATAAAATGAACTGACTTTATTGTTTCATAAGGATTTTATCAGCTACAAATAACCTGCATATTAAAATACATCAATGTAATCAGTGTGGCATAATTTTCGGTATAATTTAACTAAATAGTCAGTTCATTTATTAAGGGGAGAAAACCATACTTACTACGAAGACAATGAACAAATTCTACAGGAAATTACAATAATCAGTTATCATCAAAATAGAAACATTCTATTTGAAGTAATTTCCTGGATGGTGATTTGCAGTAGAATCCACGGTAAGTATTTCGCGTAATCTGGGATTCGTCATCAGGATATGTCTGCGTTCTCCAGTGGGTGAAAGTGTTCCCAGTGAGGCCCGAACCCAGTACCAATCGGTTCAAACGCCAAAGTGTTAACCAATGGACCTTTTGGGCCACGAGGTCCACCTTTTGTGCAACAGGTGCCAGTTTACGCTTTCTCACTAGGAAGTCTCAAATAGGACAAAATGCGCATCCTGGATTCCACTGCAAGTCATCATCCACCAAATTACTTCAAGTTAAAACCTCAGACATCATCGAAGCATCCACAAAAGGAGACGACATGTCAGCAGAGGTCAAGCACTTCGGTTCAGTCAATCAACGGGAAAGTCCAAAATGAATTTTTTTTAAATACTATGCCGAATAAAAGGGAGGGCAATTCACACATAACTCCGGATAGTTAAGTAATCACGTGAAGAGTTATGTAAAAAAATATGGAGGAGATCAATGATTCGATCAATTTCAAGTTCGATAAAGAACTGACTTCAGGTAGAGAGTCGTTGATAACCATCAGGGAGTACTGAACAGCTGTTTCACCTTGGTCTGTGACTCTTCATCAGTAAACACTTATGACTTTCACATTACGAGTCAAACTCAGTGGCTATTCAGTCCTTTGGATGGAATCCAGTGGCTTATGAATTCTAACTCTTTACAAGTTGGTATAAATAGAGCAACTGCCAGCCAGTGTTATAAGTAAATATTTATCCTCAGCTTGGTAGACTCCCCTGGTTACGACATCCCGGTGGAAATCCTGGCGCCTAGAATAATTTTCAAATTGGCCTCTGGATGATATCCCAGTGGGTGAATGGTCAACGAGATCCACTTGTAACTTGAGTGTCCTGGATTCGACCGCTGATGGAGTAATGAATGCATACTGTTGAAAAGTCCCAAACTAGAATGAAACAGCCGTCCACTACTTCTTGGTTTTCTAGGATTCTCTAGCTGAAGTCTGTTCATGGTCTATGACATAGTTATCAAGATAATTACCAAGAAAATCGATAAACGCCACTATCAAGGTAGAATGGAATTCTAATGAGCTGTCGAGAAAGAGTCGGTGGTTTTTTTAAAAGTGCCTAGATGAAAACCATACTTACTTCCAGAGCTCACATCATAGACCTACCAATATCAGTTACCCAGTCATTCTAAAACAAATAACAATGAAAAGTTACTTAGTCTTAGCTTTAGAACAAATACACACACACACACACACACAAGTGAACGAGGAATTGGCGGGAAAACTTTAAACCATGTGTTTGCTGATCAGCATAGGAAAAACAGGACAGTCACATGACTCGATAATTATTTGTTCGATAGTAGGTAGGAGTACAATGTAGGTCGTTGGTTTAGTCCTATTCTTTTGTACTTTTTAGCTAAGTCAACAGTAAGTGACGGCGATGTCTCATCATTGCTGTCCAGTGGCTCTCTAACTGATGTGAACTTGTGACCGAACCTGTAGCCGATCAAGTCTGTGCTGGTCACCACTCAAAAACCAAATTATGCCCGTTGTACACAGAGGTGACTCTTATGTCCTAATGAAAAACACTTTGGCATTTAAACTGATGGGTGCATGGAGTTAGAGCTCTAGTGGGAGAATCAATACTAACTAGTGAGGGGGAGGTACATCCAGCTGATGAGTTTCAAATAATTCTCCTGATCATAACCAGACAAGTAACTTCTTTTTTCATTCCTTTGCGTTTTGAGTGGAACATAGAACTTGACGGCTGAAGTCTTGAAGTTTTAAAAGCCATGGTATTGCTTTTACAGAATGGGGTTGTTAGCCTCATGCTAACCTTCCTTTTTCTCCGATCTTTTCGTCGGCTAGTAAGACAGGTGAGGTTTAGGAGTGCGTCAGTCGGCAATTGAACCATGGACTACGTGTATGATTGGCAAGCACTGTTTCACTGATCTTCACTTCCTCTGTATGATTCAGAAACTTGACACCTCACGAGAAGAATTTCTCATAAGTTAAGACCAAATGACCAGAAAGAACTGGCAACAAGAAACTATGGGAACGAATCGTTTAAGAACCTACTGCTAGCCCAATAAATATGCGGAAGAAAATGCAGGTGGATCGGATGCACAATGTGGAGATCATCTAATGGCATCGCGCGCTTCAGGCACCCCTTCGATTAGAACCTCAATGAGAAACAACTAGTGGAGCATCTGAACGTGACATGGAAGACATCGTGTGAGGAGGGGATGAGAGACTCTGGGCAATCGTCAGGTCAGCTGAAGAGAATCCTAGAGAATGGAACATTGTGAAGATGTGCTGCTGAGGAACCCAAGAGAACAGTAATAATAATACTATCATTGATCCACTGCGACACACACACAAGTAACTACAAGTTAATACTCCTGTTAAAATATCAAGATGTCTTTTCAAAGAGGCCATATACTCAAATAAGATGAATGATTTCAGTTCAGATTATGTCATCATAAATCACACCGTAATAATTGTCATGATGAATAATCAATATGCTATAACAGAAACATAAATGAAAAGGAGACAGATTAAGCCGACTTCACAGAAAGGCTTTTGCCTAAGGTATACTAAGTTAACATGTCATATTTGATGAATATTCCCTCTTTTTATGTAATAGAACTTCAGTTGGATAGAGTATGTCAATCTCAGGGTTTTAGTGAACTCAACGAACGAGGAAACCAGAGCCCAGACACACCCTAAAGAGCATGGACGGACAGGATAATAGATGGAAAGTTGGGACACGCTACAGTTTCGTTCTATATATATATATGCGGTTACAGGGCGATTAGGGAAAGGCTAAAATTCACGTGACCAAAATATAATAATCAAAAGAAAGAATAAAATATTCTACCAATCAATTTTACTCAATGTGTAGGCGTAACCCTTTTGCTCTCTCTCTCTCTCCCCAAGTATATTTTGGCTTTAGCTGTAACATCGTATTGATTATTATTATTATTGAAGGCAGACCCTGATTACAGGTAAATTTTACAAGAGCAATAGGAGAGAGAGTAGGACAGTATGCAGCAATAATTGTGAGTTGTGTTAGTAATAGAATAATAGATAGATAAATGTACCTACTCAAGAAACACACATACACCAGCACACACACACAAACACAGACACACACAAATATGAATATATTCCAGTTAGTTAGTTAGTTATAGACAGGAGAGGAGGATGTGGAGGTGGGCAAATTTCAACTCAATGCGCGCTATTAGATTCTTCTTCTTATTTTTCTTCTTTCTGTTGTTGTTTTCAAGTCAGTTCTCGTAAAAGGTTAGTAGCAATTGTAATATTCCCCATTTCGCTAGTCCCTATTTACAATTCTGGATAACATATATGGGAAATATCGATCGATCGATAGTAAAAAGGAAAATTAAAAAGCAGAAAGATGGTGATAGTAACTTCTTAAAAATATACAAAACAAGGCAGTATGAAGTTGAACTATTCCAGAAACAGATGACATCAACATTTATCCATGTGATGTATGTAATGTAGTCGAATACGTTTCTTCATTGAAGGATCGATCACCTGTATTGAGTCATTACAGCTTGACACACACAATGCCAACAATAAAGACAACTGGAGTTTCGAAGGATAATTGTGCGTAAATTAAAATATTACATCATAGAACTTCAATATTGATAATAATAATAATAGTAATAATGGGAACTGTACTTTCAGCACTGTCTACAGATGAATCCGTACAATATTCTTTTGCTACACCAAGACGAACAACACTGAATGATTCGCATAGAAGAAAAGATTTTAAATATTCGCTTGCACACAATACAACAGGTTATCAATACAATAATCTGTGCGAATCAACACAGAAACAGGCGAACAATAATAATAATAACAAACAGCCCATTAAAACAACTTTACTGATTCCAAAGTCTTATGAATTGATATCTGATAATAATAATAATACTAATAATAACAATCATAATGATAGCTGCATAGAGTCGAATAAATCAATAAATTCAGGGAATAATAATAACATGTTCAGTTTGAAACGATTAATCATTTCAAGTTTGTCACGTAAAACAAAAGTTGCTGATAGTTGTAACGGTATCCTACCGAATATGCAAATGACAAGTGAAAGATTCCAACGACTGTCTATAGCTTCAGATCGAAGTAATCCTATGGAGTCAGGTGAGCATCAGATGGAATCTAGAAGATATCTGGGAAATTCAACAAGTCGATCAACAATTGAAATTCCTATCTATTATTATCAGCAACAACAACAGCAAGAGCAACAACGGCAACACCACCACCACCAACAACAACAGACTCCACAACAATTCCTCTACTCTGGTAGTGATGGGGATGGTGATGATTCAACGAAAATCCCAATGCCTACTGGTTTAAGACCAGTCACTTATACACAAACTTCCGGTATATCATCACAAAATCCTTATTGGCTTAATTCAAATGATGTTATGACTGATAGTATAACTCGTGAATATCAAACCTCATCTTCTTCGGGACAGAAATCCCTAATTAACTTCAATACCTCATTCATTCAACAACAAGATTCAACACACCTTCCAGAGGATTATTGTGGACAACGTAGACAATTATCTGAACCAAATTCTCGATTGAAACATCGTTATTCACACTGTTTATCAACAGATATCAATGGAAAATGTTGTCCTACACATCATAATCCACAATATTATCATCAACCTCGTCGTCATGACAACATCACTACTAAAATGAATATGACTGGTGGTCATTTCAGTACTACAGTCTCTTATACGCCAAGTCTTATTGATTTAAGATGGCCAACAAAGTTTAAATCTTTGCATAGAAAAGACTCTAATGAACAATTATGTGTAAATAGTTCACCGTATTCTTTTATTGATAATAATAATAATAATAATAAGGATGGGCAAAACTTTCAGAATAGTAATTACACATATCCCCCGACGACATTCAATGTATGCGAGGCTGGAACAATGCCTAGTCATCAAGGCTATCATGACAAATCATCACCAATGGATCCTTATTATACACAACAATACCATGTACAACCTTATCCAATTTATCATTATGCCCATGAACAACAACCTTATCAAAATCCCAGTAATAATAATAACAATAATAATAATGGCAATGATAGTGAAAAGTTAAAAGAATATACCCCATGGAATCGAAATGATACCTCCCCAGGAGCACGTAGTTGTAGCACCTATGATATACCATTCCCTGTTTATTATAATTATGACAATCACAGAATGAAAGGGAATTCTACCTTGTCAGTAGAAAAAGAGCATATCGTGCCGCTTCCTGTAACTTTATGTCCTTCTTCTACTTCTATAATGACTGCTACTACAACTACTAATTCAAATCGTCTTCAAACTGGTTGTGTAAGTGAAGGTTTAACACCTGATATATTGGATATACCTAACACGAATAACAATAACAGCACCACCACCAACAACAACGGGATGGGGAACGGGAACACCAATCACGGAAAATATGTCCAATTATCAAGTAAATTTGGTAGACGTTTAACTGAATTTGGTGAAGATTTAATCTGTCCTGAATCGCCTATACATGTACAACGAAAAACAGCAATAACAGGATTTGATAAATATCGAAATATTACAAAATCAATATCATGTTATGCTTTAAAACTTTTCACTCATCATAGTAATACTGCTGCTAATACGAACAATAATAATAATTCATGTCAACAGAAGTGTAAAAAACTTTCTGTTGAATCGACAGGTTTAACAAAATCTTCTTTTCGAACAAATGATATAGCCTATGACAGGAAAATGTTTAAACAACGCACTGAAAGAAAATCAAGTGATCGGGTGAAACGGAACTCTTCACAACGTGATATTGGAACATTGAAAGGATATCATCAACAGATGAATGAAAGTAATCTAATGCCGGACACATTGACATCGACAAATAAAACAAGTATGAGCAATAATAATCACAATAATTCAACTATACAATATCGAAACAGTGATGCTCAATCAACTGATCGTGTTAAATGTTTCAATTATCGAAAAGCAATCAGTAAAACAAGCGGAATTTATGGATTATTTGAAAATTTAAAATCTGATCATAAAATTGATAAAAATTCGAATATGATGTATTTTAGAAACTACAGTCATAATGAAAGATACTATTATGAATTGAATAATTCTATGATGAATGCAACAATTGCGGGGACGGGTTCTACAGCGACTACTACTACTACTACAGGAACAGCAGGAGCAACAACAACAACAGCAGGGACCACGATAACACCTAACATGTGTAATTTCTTTCGACAGCCAATATTCAAGGCGAGTACAGGTGAATTATTAAAATATTTATCATTTTTTATTGTTTCCCGTATCCAATTAAATTTAATCGAGAATTCAAAACGTTTGCATAATTCAAATTCAAATCTGCATAATATTCAACCATCGATTATTGTTGCATGGATTCGATCTATTGATCGGGCTCTTATATTACAAGGTTGGTCTGAAGTAGCATTTATCAATCCTACACATATTGTCTTTTTATATATGATGTTAAAAACATTCATTGAAAATGATCACAATATTCATACTGAACGGGAATTACACACAATCATTATGGCTTGTCTTTATTTAGCCTATTCATATATTGGTAATGAGATTAGCTACCCTCTAAGACCATTCCTGATTGCTGAGGCAAATCAATTGATATCTCATTCAGATAGCAATACTAAAAAGTCTTTGCTGAATACGACAACAGATTCAGGGACAGGAGCAGGAGGAGCTGGAGCAACGACAGGCACTAATATTGAAAGTTGTTTAAAATCGAAAGTTATCGATGAGGTACGTAATCGTTTTTGGCAATATGTAATACGTGTTGTAAATGAGAAATCCTCAGATATGCTACGTATTAACGCTGATCCAATGTTATTTACACAAATGTTTAAAGAATTAACCTCTTATGAGAGTATATTTGTACCAATGAAATTGCCCACTGTGAATCGTAATCATAAACAATGACAATGAGGTAATCATCGATTGTCAATAATAAAAATAATAATAATAATAGACTCTATGTATATTACAAAAACAGATAACTATGATCGGCGCCATATTGTAGCGAATAGACGCACACATTTATTCATATAGTTACTCAAGATTCTACACATGTATGCCCATGGGGTAAATACTACCCAGTTGCTTTACACACGCACAATCGCTTACTAAGAGGTAATAAGTAGTGAGATCATATTTAGTGTAAAAACGTTCTAGTCTATTAAATAATCACAAATACACCCCCTCCTTCCCCAGCCACACACACACACACACATCGACAGTGTTCAGGTCTTTCAATAATTTTAACTATCTGTGAAATGAAAATAAACCAAATCAACAAATGTTATTTGTTCATCATTTTCCTAGTATTTTATTCTATTTTTTTTTGTTTCTACTTATTTTACTCTTCTCACTGTATTGTTCGATATTGATTGTCAGCTGCACTGCTTTGCTTCCGAGCATTTCAACTAGTCATGAAAAGAGAGACATTGTTAATCATTCGAACTTCTATTGCACAGAGTTTCTTTTTCTTTTTGTTGACATTTTTTACCCTTCCTTATTGCTACATTTCCAAATTTTAGTACATTTTACAATCAGAGGACAACCCTTATAGTGATTACATAAAATTAAGTAGTAATTTAATACAATTGCTTATTTTTCATTTTTATTTCTTTCCCTTATTTGTGAAAGGGAAGAAAACCTTTTTCATCACTACCTCAACATACATAACAACAACAACAGCAACACTAATCTGAGATTAACCGTGATATTTGTTGGAATACAGACGTTGCATATATAAACATATTTGATTTGAGAAAAAAATAAAATAAAAAGCTTAGAGATAATTTAATTCCCTTTTGATTTGTTTTTTTTCTTTTCTGACTTTTTTTCCCCGTCTGATTTTGATTTGATTTCATCTTATTTTCTAATATGTGTACATGTAAATCAATTGACCTGTCTATCTGTCTATCCATCCGTCTGCCCGACTGTCTGCCTGTCTAACGATTTTATCAAGTTGTCCTTGATGTTGACGTAGATAAACACAAAATTGACAACTTGAACACACATTGTGATCACAATTAACACTTGTTATTATTGTTATTACACATATTTATAAAATAAAATGCTTCACATTAAAACAAATTGTTACAGAAAAAAAATACTCAATGTTGTTTTATTATTTCATACTATATTGATTTTACAAACGCGAAATTTTACAGGTATTGAGAATGAAAGGTGAGCTATATTGTTTTGCTTGGTATATTGGTTTTCTTCGTGTTAAGTACTATAGAATACATTGTTTGCACTGGTGAATTATTAAGCATTATCATAAATAGGCACTTATTTGGACTACTTGAGAGTTCTTGCTAGTCTGTAGCAGTAAATGTTGCTTCCATAGTGATATCTAGGCGTTGGGTCTTAAGGTAAGGTTCAACTTTAGACACTCTAGAGGCGTGAATGCCTCAGTGACCCTAGAAATAGCAGTCGCGCTAAATGGTAAATCTGGTCCTTTAATTTAACGCTAACTCTTATCTATTCCTAGTCAACCCTAATACATCCCTAATTAGGTTAACCAAACCCCAACTTTTGCCTAGCTCAGACCTAAACTTAATATTTCCCTAACCTTACCTGTAATTAACCTGGTATCCTGTTTAATATAGCTACATTCTATTCGACACTTTTTTCATGAACATAGTAGTATTTACTTGGTTTTATTACCTTGCTGTGGCTTGGCATTCCAAAGTCATTGGTGAGTTCATGCCTGTTGGGGTGATTATACGGCGTATCCAAAAAAACCTAATTTTGAGTAAACGCCACTTGAATAAAAGCAAAGACGTAGAATTCCCGAAGCAATAAACCGCATAGAGCAGCATGAAATCATAGAAATGCTATTTTATATGATGGACATTAAAGCTTGAAGAACTGTAACGACCAAATTTATTCGGTTCTAGTCTGAAATCAAGAAAGCAATCTCCACGTTCTACTGTGTAGCCGACAAAACTCCGTTGAAACACGCGCTATCATGGAACGTTCCAGAGGTAGGGAAAAGAGGATTATTCTCCAATATTTTGGCGTCGAAGCTTCTTGACCTTGGGAAATATGACACATGATATAACCAGGTACCAACTCTGTGTGTTTCATGCAGTCAGAAACAGTCCTTATCACCATAGCCTTCTTCATCACTATCCAAAGATGGTTTTGATAACTTTTCAGGTTTGGATAACTCTTCATTTATGATCTACTACACCTAAGCCAGAGTGTTTCGACATCTTGGTATAAGAAGTCAGTGAGCAGCTCTGGACTCCTAAACCACCAGAGCGTACCACACTCCCGTTGCAGTTTAGAAGTCGGCTGGCCTCAACAGCAATACGCTCAAAGACATCATTCACAAATGAGTTCATGACTGATATTGTAGGGAGAGCTGGCTGCAAGCCGAAAATTGTAGACAGTAATTTACGCCAGTGTTACATCCCGAATGAGGGTCATGAGAAAAACAATAACAGGTTAATCTCGAGGAACTCACCAACCAATCACAGAGGACTTAACGTGTGCAAATACGATTCGCAGATATATGGCTTAACTTTCTGAGAAACGGTCACAAGCAGTACAGAATAACCTTCAGCAAGAAAACAATCAATCAGAAGACATTGCTTCTCCGCTGACAATAATGTACATAAAAATCTATAAATATCTCTTGATTTTCTCAATAAACGATCTGTTGCCTGGCCCTTGTCTTCTGTCGTTACAATATTACCTTGGATGGAATAGCCGTGTCGTGATGAACTTGATGGAGGACCTTGTAGATGTAGACTGTATGGCCGTCCTTCCCCCTCATCCTCTACTTCGTGTCAACTTTAGGCAACTTGGCTTTCTTAGAGGTTTTACCAGAAACAACCTTCGGGGGAATTCTACCGTAAGTGACGGTAGTGACGTTTACTATCAAAGAATGGTAAGAACACTGAAGCCGTCCAAATAAATACCTCATAAAAATTTTACTAATGCATAATTTAATTTCACATATCTAAGTAATGTATGTACGTTATTTATGTCATTACATGAACATAGAAGGACTACAATAAACGTCGCTTTTAGGATATATTATAAACCCAATTCACCAAGTTGGGTGTCCAAAGTCTAACTTCTCCGATATCAAAGTTAAACGCATAAAATTATCTTTTTATGATTTTATAGCTAGCATATATGGCCTAGTGCATAAAAATATTTTGTTTTAACTCATACATATCCCAGTGGCACAATTTTGAACTGGGTATATTTAAGAGTATACCATATCATCGACCTATTATTGCATATTATTGTTGGCATGATTAAAGGCCAAAATGACCTTGCCTTTGATTGGTTCTTTCGGACATTAATGAAGAGAGAAAACGGTAGCCAATCACATGCCGCTTATTAAAAAAAGGAAAGTTTATTGATCCAGATTTCACGGAGTATACATTCCCGCTGGCATAGATTAGCATTGTTTAAATTGTTCCATATCGCTAAATTCTCCATTTAGATATTTAGAAGACAAAAATAAAGAATGAGCGAAAAATATTCATTTTAATGATAAGACGTCCGAATTGACAAGTTGCATGAACACATAATTCACCAGTGTTTTTGACTATGAAAACTGACGACCTGTAGAATGACTCTGAAGAATAACGAGTCAGACTGTCCCTTTAAATAAAATGTTTCTTGTTCATGGGCTATACCTCCATTTTCATTCTGACCTTTTCCCATTTAGGGTTGAACTTGTGGCTATGGTCAGGGTTAGAATGCGAAAGAATTAGGGCATTGCCTTAGAATATAATTTTGTGTTGGATAAGTTTATTTCAAGTATCACACAGAGATGCAGTATGAATGACTGGATGACGTTTCGAGAACAAGTTATCGCTCATAGTCATGTAAAAATGTATACATATGACTTTATAATTTTCTGCATATATATTCACTGCCCCTCGTTATTTACTGCAATTTTCTATAATTTTGGTATAGGTGTTGTGTCATTTGCATTGCACGTGTGTAGTGTCGATTCGCTGGGCGAAATTTCAGTGATTAATTTCTCTCTTCACTTAATTATAATACTCTGTAATACTTTTAACCTTTTCCACCCTATTGTGTGATTACATACAAAAAAAGCATTGCACTGGGCAAGTTCTTTTTTCCAAAATATTTAACTTAGTAGGGTCAGTTATTCTAGGTCTAGCTAAATTTCTACGTTATGATAATCCAATTCACCCCTACCTATTAGTTTGACCAATGTAATTGGCCTCACAGTCACTACATGGTATTTGACAATTTGTATTATTTTTCTTAATTGAATGACTGATTGGTTTCAACAAAGAACTTTGCATAGATATGCACCAGTTCCAGTTGCCAAATTCCCTCGTTGTAGCACACAAACCAAGAGAACAGAGTAAACAGAGATTCAGTGGAGAGATAATAAACAGAAGTGTAGGCGAAAAAGAACAGTAATATGGAAGAAAAATAGAATTTCACTAAATATTGTAAGTCACAGAGTGAATGCATCCGCGCCATCATTGAGAACGAGGATTTTGAACCATATCACCACCAATTGTCTCCAGCCGTCATTGGTTCTAACCATCCCGACAACCCCAACCAATCAGTCAGGCAATGTGCACCTCCCAACGTGTCTGACTCATAATAACTGTTATGAATTTCATTGACTGATGAAGCCATGTTTTCGCTTGATCATCAGTAGCTCTTACCCGATATAATCAATGCTATGTTAGCTAACATTGCCCACCGAGAAAGGCGATGGCATATAGCTAGGCATATGTAACACATGTCCTAATTATCTCAATCTGTGTAACTTCACAACCTCGTAGATTGATTTCCCCTCCTCACCTAGCACTTGACCGATGCCTAACCTTAATATTGCTCACCCTATTATACCACTTCACACAGGAGATAGAACACAGGCACCTTCCACTTTCACTGGCCATGTCTGTCCCACACCCATAAAGGAGGAGGGCAGGGCGACATGTTGAGCGGTACACATGTCTTTCGGCCGACAGCTAGCCGGATATTATGTCTACACCAGAAATGAAGCAGGTTTGCAAATGTCATAAGAGCCATGAGGAAAATACGAATAGCAATGAAAATATTAACAATAAATAAATAAATAATTTATGTCTAATATCACACAAACTCGAAGACTTACAGCCAAAAACCAGCAAACTGGATGAAGAAGCAGCGAACACAGGACTGCAG